GTTTATCATTTCATAGTAGTATTAAGTTCGATTACAAACCATCGAAAACATTTAAGGTCCAGGTAAATGGGTCTTACGGACCCAAAAATTAAACAACATATTTATATAAGAAAGACTTAAATTAGTGAGCCCATACAAAATAACCTTCTCTTTTAAATGGCAGCCCATACGAAAAAGACAAAAATCTTTGAAAGATAGTTTTGTACGTGGATCGAACACTGCTTGCGTATGAAACAAATAATCCGGTGTAGGCGCGCGGGTTAGGTTATACCGGGTCGGATCATTTCAAATTTTACCCATAAATGACTAAAAATGCCCTCCCTCAGAAAACTATTTTTCAACTCACCTAAGATGTAAGTGTTATTTTAGTAATTGAATATGCACTTTATGGAGTAGTTATAAATAAATCCACCTCCACAGTCAACCTAATGAAACCTGAAATAACCTATTTAAAACCTAAAATTTTACTACTTAAAAAATAAATGGTGTTAGATTTAAAATAATTGGATACAGAGATAGTTTCAAAGACTCAGGAAAATTTGAGACAATATACCATTACAATAATAAACAAGCACAAAACTATAGCAACAATATTATGACACAGATTAAATCACCAAATTGACATTATAAGTATAATTTCAATCTCCGGAATACGTCTACTCCTGTACACGTTCGTTTTTACTCAACATAATATGCTCACCTCATACAAATGCACAATACACTAATATACAAATTTATACTATTTATACAATTAATTTCTCAAGTTTAATATTTGAAAAAACAATAATTAAATTTAGCCCCGCGGTGTACCGCGGGTTAAAACCTAATATATAGTAATAATGATATCTTTGTTTCAAAGACAAATTAATAACGAACGGTGTCGTTTTCCAGTTGGCAGGGCTGATGCAATAATTGTCGTTGAAATTGAAACCTTCACAAACGAGATTTACGTACACGTATATAGCGACTTAAGATCCTCACCGCACATCAAAATGATTAGGTGTCTTAATCTATTTGAAATAGTGTACACGATTCAAACAAACCACATGAGATTTTCTCAATTTGGTCTTGTGAAAAAAATATCTGAGTTCTCTGATTTTTTTTTTTTTTTTTTTTTTTTTTTTTTGTGAAAATAGGGAAATATCAAGAGAAGGGCCATGTGATGTATCGTAAGAGTGACCCACTGATCCAACAAGTGGACTTTAGCAATAGCAGCCTCAGTACCAACCCTAGCCTTCGTGTCCCTAGTATCACCATCTACAATAATTTCATTTTCATCAAGCGTTCATAAATTTTTACTAGTTTGTCAAGAAAAAGGCGTTACAATACATAATGGAACTTATTTGCGTTACCATCTATATATCTTTGACATTAACAGCATATATGTACATATCCTTTTCTAAAATTGTACGTGACATATATTACACCTAGCTAGGATTTAAGTCACACCAACTCTAATGTGAAGATGTGACGACCGAAGGCAGTCAATTATTTTCATACAACTTAAAAACCGGAAAGTTAGCTAGAAACCACTTGTACAATATTATTAGACAAAGAGAAAAGTCATAAAAACACACCAACTTGGCAACTTTATATCAAATTCACGAATAGTTCACGTAAGAAGTGTTCTAGAGCCCAAAATAATAATTTATACAGCGTTCTGTTCCTAAATTTTACTTAGAAATTGAATTTCACGGTGGTCAAATATGACTACGCAATAAATTCAGACAATGAAAATCAAACCAAGGCAAGCTTACTTTTGAAAGAAATAGCGTGTTTATACAACACATACAAAACATAAATTAAAGATTTTGAAACACAAAAACACAAAGTGATCAATAAATGTGACACAAGAATCGAATCCGCGTATTTCGTACACAATATAAAACCGGGAAAACTAAGGGAAAAAAAAATAACTTGCGCAGTCGTATTGGTCTGATCAAATAGATATATTGTTAAGAAGTAAAGATACCACGTGATGCTTCCTCAACTCAGGATGCATGAAGATGTCAGTGTATGTCTTTGTAGAAAACTTGGACAACCCTCGACAGGTTTAGGAATCGCATGATATTAGTAAATAAACCTCATTCTCATTAATTAATGTAAAATGTACAATTGGGGGTTTATATACACATGACCAGGCCTAAATCAGAGTCTCATAACCAACTAAATCAAACTATACAGACTCAAAGTAATCTGTACTAACCGTAACTATATACAATGCACTATACATGACGATAGGGAAAGGAAAAGAGTGATCGCTCGTCATCATTTCTGAAGTAAGACTCTTCCACGAATCCAATGCCATGATTTTGATCCCTTCTTCGGCTTTCATGTAACAGTCAATGGATGTTTCCACGTGTTTTCTCTTCATTTTCGTAGTATGAGATAAATTGGCGTGTCTCTATCCTTGAGATACCCCTAGGGTATGCATGTTTGAGGGCATTTTTAATGCGGATGGACATATTTGGACTATATTGATAAGTCAGTCCTTCCAAATGAGACCTAGAGAAAGCAAGAGCTTCATCGAGAATCTCTTCACCATGGGTGCTCCAATATGTGCTGCTTCATAAAGACATAAAAGACCTATTGCATCCTCAGCTAGGTTCTCCTTGAACTTTCCATCCTTATTCTTGAACTTGTTGAACACATCTTATACATATAAACTTTTAGTTAAAATGATGTTTAACAATTAACATTTGGTTTGGTAGATTTCTAATCATTATGCATAGTGTATGTGCTCAAGTAACATATTGTATCTCTTTATTATGTCATCTTTGATAAGATAAAAGAAAGTTCCAAAACTATAAAATCTTAAAGCGATTCACTAAAAACTTTCAAAGGCCAATATCAAATATTAAAAAGAAAAAACAGAGAACTGCGTAGATAGTTACTCTATGCACACCAATAAAGATCTTCTCCTGCTCAAGTAACAACTTGAGAGGGCTTATTTATAACATATAGTCTGGTAGCAAGATATTTCGTGTGTCAACGATTCTCACATAGAGCTAACAAAGTCAACAATCTCCACCACATCATGGAGTAGAGAGTTGGAGTTCACCACCCTACAGTTCAACCTGATTTGTCCTTGAGTTCCTGTAAGCGGTGTAATGTTTCCCATCCTATTCATCGCCTCCACGAACGCATCAAAGAATGTTTGTGTGCCATCAGCATAAGATCTCACCAAGGGGATCGTGTCTGTGGCATTAGGACTAGAGAACAACTCTTGATCGGTTTGGATAAGACCTTTTTGTTCTTTCAGATTCACGTAGTATTTGTTGTCGAACACCAAAGGCGTACGCAAATCGAAATCCACCAAGACGCTTTGGTTACCATCTTGAGGGCATTGTCCACGAAGAGTTTGTAGGTAAGTAGTGTTGAGGGTAGGGTCAGGTAACCCGGTGTTGCTGAAGTTGTATAATCTGTCCATAATAAATCGACATTGATTTTTACCAAATGTGTGACCCCCTAAACAAAAGAAAGACCATAATTAGATAAAATAATACAACTATGTCAATAGCTAGGGTTTAATTTGTTTGTGTTAATTACGTACCTGAGAGAGCAACAAGATCAGAAGGACGATCAAGGCCAACATTTTTAAAGTTTTCCTTAAGTTCTGGAAGTGTTAAGGTTGGAGCTGGAAGATTTTTATTAGCGAGTTCCAAAAATGCTTGTAAGCTGTCTCTTCTTCCCAAAGGAACCTTCCAAGAAGGACCTCCTGCCTATATAGTACAATTACCATTATACTCTCAAAATTATAATTACTTTATAAGAAAGTTTTATCACTCAGAAACATGTACTAGAATTCGTTAAATACTCAAAAGGAAGTTTTTAGAATCTCCACTGCTTCTTCGAAAAAAAAGTTAGTCTTGCGTAACCAAATAAAAATATATCCTAGTTTGATATTAAGCTTGACAAATTTTCTTGACCGGACCACACGTTTTGAATATTTCTCGAATAATTCTGAGCACTTTTCAAAATTAAAGCGTTCAAAATTATTGGAGAAATATTAAAAACGTTTGGTTTGTACTAAATATGATCATTGTGACATTCTCAAACAACTATATCCCAAATTTAACTCATATATGTTTGATATGTAAAGTGACTACTTGAAATATTAAAATTTGATGGAAAAAAATGTTTGTAACCAAGGAAAGAAGATGGAACAATGGAGCGTACCAAAGTAACAGATTGTTGAGCTGCAATGGTAAGCATGTCTGCGCATGAAACGGTTCTCGGGCAAGCACTCTCTATTGCGGCTTTCATTCTATCAATAACTGGAAATCCCCGAGCCGAATTTGCGTTTCCAAACGCATCTTTCTCTGTTTGAAATGATGTTGTGTTGTCTAACAAGATCGATGCATCACAACCCTTTTAAGAATTCAAAACGACATTTAAGAAATTATCAGTCAATGTATCACATCCATATGTACCAAATGTAACAATGTAATTTTGCGAAAAATAGATAAAATGTGATTTTGAATGCATTTCTGTTATCACACTCTTGACTCATTAAAAGATATAGAGATGAACTACAGTAATTCAAAAGACTAAAACATATATGAAAATAATGATAATGATATCTTACGTTAACAAAGCAGTCGTGGAAGTGAAGACGAAGGATGCTCCCGGCGATACGAGGGTCCGATCTTAGCTCGTCTACAATAGTATCTCTAACAATGTTAGTGACGTTAGGACACGAATTGTCGTAAAAGGTAGGGGTAAGTTGAGCAACGGACAAAGAGGCACAAAGCATAAGACATCCCAATGTGATTAAGGTTGTCCAAGTGTAGGAAGTAGTAGAAGATGAAGAGAACTTCATTTTTTTTTTTTAACAAAGAAAAAGTAAAACTAAATGATTATTGGGGAGAAGATGAGTAAATGTCTATAACTCTTAAAAATCCTTTTATAGGACAAAAAAAATGGGTCAAACCTGGAAGGCTTCTATTTCTCAAATGAAGGCTTTTCTTCCGAACACAAAAGAAGGCTCTCTATTATTATTTTTTTTGTCATCACCACCGACTACAAATTATTATTATCAAGCGCTTCATATAATCTTTACTACTTTGTTAAAATTAGCAGAAAAATTCATATAGTAAACGAAATAATAATGGAATTTATTTCGTTTTAACTTTTATCATTTTTTTTTGTTAACTTCTATCCTTAATAGTACACGTTCTTTTTTTGCCATATAAAAAGTCATGAGAGAAACACACCAGCTTTATATCAAATTCAAGAACAGTTCACGTACGAATTGTTCTAGAACCCAAAACTATTATACAGACAACGGTTTTCTTTTCCTAAATTCCACTTACAAGATTGAATTTTCACGGTGGTCAAATATGACTACACAATAAATTCAAACATTAACGGAAATCAAACCAAACTTATTATTTGTAAAAATAACATGTTCATACAACACATACAAAACATAGATTAATTAAGGTTTTGAAATACAAAAACACAAAAACTATATATATATAATATTATTTTTATTTATATAAAAAAACTTGCATAGCTGTATAATTTGTATAGTTCTGATCAAATAGATATATTGTTAAGGAATAAAGAAACAACGTGATGTTTCATCAACTCAGGCTGTGTGAAAATGTCAGTGTCTTTATAGAAAACCTCGACGACCCTCGACAGGTTTAGGAAACGCATGACGATAGGGAAAGGAAAAGAGTGATCTCTCGTCATCAGTTCTTGATTAAGACTCTTCCACGAATCCAATGCCATGATTTTGACCTCTTCTTCGGCTTTCTCCCACGAAATACCATATTGCTTCATGTAACAATCAATGGATGTTCCCACGTGGTTTCTCTTATGTTCAAACTGCATTACATAGTTCATCAGACTAAATATTGACATCCCTACATGTAATAAGGTGAGTAATTATATATATATTTACCTCGCAACTAGCAATGTCACCACAGAGGCGGCCTATTAGTGCAGAATTGACAAGAAGAGGTGGGAAAGTGCTTAACCACTTAAACACGTCAAGTGTGCCTTCATCCACCATTCCAAGAATGGATCCTGTTAACAGTGCTAAGTAGCTCGACGAATAAACTCCGTTCTCTTTGTACTCGTTGAATGTTGCCACATAGTCTTGGCTCAACCATTTTGCCTCTTGGAGATAGGCTTTTGCCGTTACAATCATCTGAACAAATGCTTACTTACTAATTAGGTATATGCTTTTGAACTTTGAAGTACTTGTATACATAAGTATCTAGTTATACCGATTGTTTGGCGAAAAGGCCGCATCCCGGCCTCCCTTCCCTCTCCATCTCCTCCTCAATTTTTCCATAGAAATCTAACAAAACTTGATGAAGATACTTCATGCTCTCAGGAAGCCCTTCCATGCCACTAGGATTCCACATAATCAGTGCATTTGTAAATGGTTCGAGTTCCTCAATTGTGCCATAGGCATCGTATGTATCATCAACCAGCGTCAATAAGATAACAACAATGGCCAAATTAATCCTCGCTTGAGAATAGCAGGGCTCAAAGTATGCTCCAACAGCCCACAAGTAGCTTTCGACCGTCCGGTTCCTTGCATATGGTAGTTTCGAGTCCAGCCCTAGATCTTTGTACCACCTTAACAAACAAAAAAGGAAAAAAAAAATCAATCCATCATTAAGGTCTTAGGCCCACCATAGAAGAGTTTTAAAAGCTAGCTCGAACCTGAAGACTTGGCCAAGCTCTTTACGGTGCAGCATTTGCAAAATATTGAAATCTATCTTAGCAAATTCTAGTAAAGTTTGATCGTGCAGATCTTCTTTTTCGTAGTATGAGATAAATTGGCGTGTCTCTATCCTTGAGATACCCCTAGGGTATGAATGTTTAAGGGCATTTTTAATGCGGTTGGACATATGCGGACTAGATTGATAAGTCAATCCTTCCAAATGAGACCTAGAGAAAACAAGAGCTTCATCGAGAATGTCTTCACCATGGGTGCTCCAATGTGCTGCTTCATAAAGACATAAAAGACCTATTGCATCCTCAGCTAGGTGCTCCTTGAACTTTCCATCCTTATTCTTGAACTTGTAAAAAACATCTTATACATATAATTTTTTTAGTCAATAATGAAGTTTAACATAACAATAAACTTTTGGATATCAAAAAAAAAAACAATAAACTTTGATTTGGTATATTTACGACAAAAAAAAGTGGAAATATTAATAAGAATTTTTAGGCATAAACATAA